TACTAGTCGGTACAGATTGGTTGTGACATTAGTAGTAGATCATCCATATCGATTGCATCAATACAAAAAAAAGACATTCAGTTGTTGGAGAAGGGGTTAAGAGAAGCATAGGAAATTATTAAGCACCAAGGTGTAGGGGAAAAAAAAAGGCCAATTTATCTTGCAGGCACGAAATTCAGAGGAGGATATAAGATGGGGGTTTAAAATAATAGGAGGTATTCACCAGGTTGAAACAAGCTCTTTAATGTAGCCGAAGAGTATAGAGGACAAGAGAACACACAAAATTCACAAGTTTAGAGATAGGTCAAATGTGTTTTCCCCATGGGACACTGGAGCAGGCTCCCAATGATGTCAATTGATTCAAAGGCAATTAACACCCTTAAAAGGAACTGGATGAATACCTGTTGAGAACAGAGATCGAGAGTTATACACATAGTTACCATTCTGACTGCTTTCTATCTCTCAGATAAACAAAAGTGTCTTCTGGCCTGAGACAGAAAACAGGCAAAAGTTGACCCAGAAAGGAAAAGCTGATACACCCTTTGAAAGCCAGCATCTCCGAGATGCTGAGTGTTTCGGTCTGTATTCAAAGTGATGGATGAGAAGAAATGAAGACTTGCATTTATATGGCCTTTTTATTGAAAACTGATTGGCACAAAGAATTTCACTGTTGAATCCATGTGCAAACTTCACCTGATGAAGCAGCAGTTCACCAAAAGCTTGCAATTTCAAATAAACCTGATGAACCACAACCTGGTGTCATGTGACTTCTGGCCATTTGCAACAAATTGCCCCTTTGTTAAACAATGAGTCTTTTTCTTGATGTACCCAGGAGCTTGAAAGCCCATAGGTTCTCTTTGCTTTCTCCATGGCAACACTTCAGCTGATCAAAATCAATTTGCCAATCAGCCCCCTCTGTTTACCTATGGTATAAATTATTGTGACAAAAACAGAAATTGCAGTTCTGAGGAAGGGCCACTCAACTTGAAACGTTAACTCTGATTTCTCTCCACAGATGCTGCCAGGCCTGCTGAGCTTTTCAGCGATTTGTGTTTTTGTTTCTGATTTACAGCATCCGCAGTCCCTCCCATTTTTATTCAGTGTAAATAGCTGTGTTCATTTGGAAATTTGGCATTCTTGCATTTGTCCTGATGAGTGCAAGACACAACTTTGGCAACACGTTACCCTTTTCAGCAATATTCCAGTCCCATTACGATTGTGGTGTGGAGCTGGAATGTGGAGGGTTAACAAAGTTAGGAACCACTCTTTGACTGAGAAATTAAAGTAGCAAGTTCGTCTGAGTATGCCATTATTAGCATAAGGGGAGGGGGGGCAAAGGAAGGAATGAAAGGACAGTGGGCACAACAGAATCAATCTGTCAAGAAAGGATATTTGCAGAACTGTATCACGTGACTGAAGTTAGTTAGGGAGTAATCAAAGAAAAGTGAAGAATAATTGTTAATTTTGAAAGGAGCAATGTGTTTTGTCTTCTAAAAGCTTGATGGATTAGCACTCTGAATTCTTTCAAATCTTTATGGCATTCAATTTCCTCTGTGCTCGGCTTAGGCATTTATTGTCGTATTTATGCTGGTTTGCTCCGAGGGAGGGAGCAACACATAATTATTTCTACGAAGGGAGCCTCTTAAATAGACCTATTTAAATCTCCCTGTCCATTAGTCACACCCTTGGAAAGCTTTCAAGAGGGCTTCATGAAGCCAAGACGTTTTCACTATCTCCCTGAGTGACCATGCAAGCGGTAACTGGGAGAAAATCGCGGACACCCCTCACCACCCGGGAATTTCAGGATTATGGCTGCTGCTGTTCACATGCCAGTTGCCTACCCAAAGGAACATCAGGGGAACGATCCCAATGGGGGTCGACGCTGACGAAAATGTTTTTACTCTTGTTCTTTTCTTGATTGGAGTTGACGCAAAGGTGCAAGCAATGCCAAGGAACATACGCTCGGATCAGGCCTATGAACATGACTAATGAAGGCTGAGAAAAACAACATTGATGATGAGGCCCGAGGCCTGTTTGTAACTTGCTACGTAGTCAGCCAAACTTAATTATGATTAACTCACACTTCAGTGAACATTCATATTTATCCTAAGGATATTTAAGAAGTAAAGGGAGAGCAACTGAAAACAACAGTGTTGTTTTGCACAGCATTCATTGCAACTGATCCATGGCAGTGTTTATAATCCAATTGACCCTCCAAACCTCTTGTTTTAGCTAATTTGATCAGCAAAACCGTCTATTGCTGTCTCTTTCGTGTGGTTATCTGGTTTTAGCTTAAAAGCACCTGTGCTATTCACCTCAACAATTCCCCACAGTTTCACATTCTAAGCATACTCTGGGAAATGATGTTTGTCTGGAACTTTCTGCTCTCATTTCTATTGTTCTATTATTTTGATTTAATTTCCAAAAGCTCCTGTTTCTCATCCAGTCATCCTTGATTGATCAGAAAAAATGTCATTTTTGTTTTATCTCAACTAACTTCTGCCATGGTTATATTGGCACCACAACTGGCCATTCAGCCCAAAGGAGGAATGCTAGCTTTTGTGGTCCACAAGCACCCCTCAATCAGCCTCAGAGATGAGAGCACATTCAAAACATCCATTCTCTGTTAATGCAGACTAGTGTCTGCTAATCTGCGTCGGGAGCTCCTTCCAGTTCTCATTTGTCTGGGAGAAAATAAGTCTACTCACTACTCCAAACCACACTGTTCTCAATGTTGAACATCCCAATGAATACCCGGACAATGTTTCTGAATAACCTCACTGTCGCGAAATGCTAGACATTCTGTCATTACTCCATAAATGCACAAGGCTGGGTTGTTTACTGCTCCACAAAGACTGTATTATTAGAACAACAAACAGGAGCCAGAATTAACCAACTCTCTGGCTGATGTGCCATTACTTCTTCTGGACACTGGAGCCACTTTGAAAAGTCATGCACGGATGTTGTTGAGCTAATAAAAAGTACGTTAGCTTTACAGATGGGTTTTAACTCAAGATGCCTGATCAACACAGCAGCTGATCAACTATGTCAACTCGTGGCCCATTCTATTTTGAGAATTAACGCTTAGTGCCCGGGAACTCAATGAGCCTCATCTTTGTCATTCCTCAGGCCAACAAAAAGGTAGGTCATAGGACCTTGTAGTGTTCCAACGTCTGTCCCAGTGTTTTTTTTTGATATTCATTTGCAGAATGTGGAATCACTGGATAGGTTAGCATGTATTGCTCATCACTGAGGGGCAGTTAAGAACCAACCATATTGCTGTGGGTCTGGAGTCACATGTAGGCCAGACCCCCCCAGGTGAGAATGATAGATTTCTTCCCTAAAGGACATTAGTGAAGAAAATATTCTCTCCTCCCGCTCCCCAACCAAAAACTGCAATCATTTCTTGATCATTATTAAACCCTTAATTCCAAGGTTTCATTGCATTCAATTCCCACCATCTGCCAAAGCAGGTATTTGAAAATAATCTGCATTTCTGGATTAACAGTTTAGTGGCAATACCATCAGGCTATTGCCTCCGACCTCAGGATGGCCATAGATCTGTGTCATAACCTGAGGGTTGATATAAGGGAAGGATAGGGGTAAAATGGCAGATTACAGGCTGGGCTGAGGTACAGTGACAATTCTATTCTGTGTCCAGTTCCAGTCGCCCTGTTATAGGAAGGATATTATTAAACTGGAGAGGGTTCACAAAAGATTTACCAGGATGTTGCCAGCAATGGAGGGTTTGAGTTATAAGGAGAGGCTGGATAGGCTGGGACATTTTTTTTATGAGAGCGGAGGAGGTTGAGGGGCGACGTTTTAGAGGTTTATAAAATCATGAGGGGTGTAGATAAGGTGTCGTTTCCCTAGGATGGGGGATTTCGAGAGTCGGACGCATGTTTTTAAGGTGAGAAGAGAAAGATTTTAAAAAGACATGTGGGACAACTTTTTTACACAGAGAATGGTTCATGTGTGGAATGAACTTCCAGAGGAAGTGATGGATGTGGGCACAGTTAGAACATTTAAAAGATATTTGAATAAGTACATGAATAAGAAATGTTGAGGGATATGGGCCAAGTGCAGGCAGGTGGGACTAGTTAAGTTTGGGATTATGGTTGGCATGGACTGGTTGGACCAAAGGGTCTATTTCCCTGCTGTATGACTCAATGATGAAAAGGGCCCTCCTGCTCCCTCATAGCCAGAAGAATAAATATCTATCTCTTTGGCAATGCCTCCTAGTTCCAGGCGAGCAATGTCACAGTATGGGCCCTGATGGTGGCAGTGAAAATGGGATGGTGAGCCATTTAACAGCTGAATCACACCAAGGCCACCCGAGCTGAATCCATTCCAAAAATATTTCTCTTTGCTTCCACGCAACAGCTGAAGGAAGCAGCTGCTTCTCTTTCCAGGGAGAGTGGGTCTCAGCAGCAATTGTTGCTCAGCAATCTGTCTGTATTTTCTGGGCAACTACAGCGACACTGTTGGAGAAGACATGTTGACCATCTAAACCCTGCAGCGATCACAGAGCGTAACAGGGAAACAAATCTTCTCTGGTTCCCTGCCTGAAATCCAGCTCAAAAATAAATGGTGACTGTTTGTGTGAAGTTGCCTTCCCATGATTATTAGCCGACCGCCACTGCTGTTGCTCATGAACAGCCTAAAACCTCACATCCAGGTTTTGATGGTCACTCCAGTCGTAACAACTGTTTGCCCATCACTGACACACAACATACTTAAGGGGTAAATTATATACGAACCTTGTAGGTAGGGAAGACTAACTGCTCCTTCAAACCTTGCCCAAACCATGATAGATAGAACATGCTGACAGAACACCTTCCATCCAACACTGCTCTCACAATGACCAATGCCAAAATATTCTGTAACATTAGTACTGAAAATTAAAAGTGTCAGATTTCTTTGCTCCCTTCTATCACAATTAACTCCTTTCCAGTTAATTACATCAAATATGTACTTTATCTTTATTGGAATTCCTGTACCTGCTGAGGGATCTCTTGGTGGTTATGTCTTTTGCAGCACTCATGCTTCACCTTTGATTTCTGGAGGAGGAAGTGGACTATTAGTCATGAGTAATATAAAAGACACTCACACTGTCAAGGCTAGGAGGACTGAAGCCACGCTATAAGAAGGATAGTATTGGTCTTGGGTAAAGAGGTAAAGTCTTCATAGTCCCAGAGGCTGGTCTCTCATGATAAGGGAAATGAATGGTGGTGTTTTAACACGAGGGTTACCGTGCCTCAGGTGAGGGGTATGCTCAAGAAGATGGATCCTCCATGGTAACCAACCTTCGTGATTGCTGAGTAATGCCAATAGCATGGATTAGATTCCCAAACCAGCTGAGGTTGCCATGAAGGATTCTACTTCTCAACTTTTCTCCTCACCTGAGATGTGGTGACCCTCAGGCTGAACCCACCATCAGCCATCTCTCACTGATGAGAAAGCAGCTCCATGGTCCTCTGGGACTATGATAACTTTACCTCACATTGAATAATAACATGTCAGCCTAATATGCTGGGAAAGCGTGTTCAAATCCCACCATGGTCAATGGTGAAATTTGAACACAATTGAAAAGTCTGGAATAAAAACTTAGCCAAATGGCAACTAACTGTCAATTCTTATAAAACCTCGTCTTCTTCACAATGACCTTTAGGGAAGGAAATCTCACATGTTAATCCAGACGAACAGTAATATGTTGACTGTTAACTGTCCCTGAAGCAATCAGGGCAATTAATCCCATGAATGAAGAAAAACAAACTGTATGCTTTTTAGAGAAGGCCTAGGTAATGCTGTTTTCAAAGACTAAGGCGAAACCTTTAACTGCCATTAGATGTACCTCATGACATTTTTCTTGCTCAAAGATTTCCCTATACTTCTCTACCTATTTACCACTTGACATGAGTCTAATAAGATTAAATCATGAGGTCAGGTTCTATAGTTGTCTTAAAAATCAATCAGTTCAGAGATGCTTTAACATCCCCTTGGGATGGGTGAGACATGAACCTTGGCCCTTCGTGCTGAGAGGTAGGGACACTACCATTGCACCACAAGAGCCCTAAGTATACAGGACCACAGTGGAAGTGACGTTGTAACTTTCCCTACTCAACCAAATTGCTCGAGCAAGTTATGGCCCGCTTCTGGAGCAGGTAGGGCTTGAACTGGAACCTCCTAGCCCAGAGGTAGTATCATTACCCACTGCTCCACAAGAACTGTAAATTGATGAGTTTGCAGGTAAGTTTTAAAATCTATCTGTTCAGAGATGTTATTCCACACCTCTGGAGCAAGTGGAACTTGCACCCAGGCTTCCCAGGCTTTAGAGATTAGGCTTAATTATATTCCTTCGACCATAGGAGATTAAGAGATGTTCAAGATAGCTAAATTATTTGGAGAGTTGGAAAGAGATTCCTGGTCAACCATCAGCAGAAGGCAACAGCATAACCATGGAGCAACACAGAGATCCATTCACATCAATGCACTTTCAGGACATCATAGCTGAAGAGAGAGACAGATAGTAGATAGTAGTTTTCCTCAAATGGAACTGGTTGGAAAGACAGAGCTTAACTTTAAAATCAATGTGAAGCCATTTCCAGGTGACACCAAGAAACATTTCTTTACTGAAATAGAAATGGAAATCGCTCTGTGGCTAATGTCCTCCTCATTTAGCGGGACCGATGATGAGGTTAATGGTGATGAATTAGTAATATGGAACACACTGCCCCAAAAAGTAACTGAGGCTAAGGGTTAATGGAATTGTCAAAATTGAGCTTTAATAGGTGCCAGTTAGGCAAGAATAATAAGATAATGGAGCGAAGATGGACAGATGAAGTTAAGATACAAATCAACCACAATCCACACGAATGGCAGAATAAGCTGGAGGGACAAAAATGATCTAGCATCATAATAATGTGGAAAGAGGTCATTTGACCCATTGAATCTGCACCAACACTCCAAAGAGCATTCCACCTAGACCTAGCCCTTTACCCTATCCTGGTAATTTCACATTAACCACGGCCAATCCACCTAATCTGCACACGTATGGACTGTGGGAGGAAACTCACACAGACACAGGGTGAACATGCAAACTCCACACAGACAGTCACCCGAGGCTGGAATCGAACCTGCAGGTCTGTAGCCGTGAGGCAGCAGTGCTAAACACTAAGCCGCCATAAATGTGAGCAGCTGTGGTACACTCTGGGCACTGTAGTTAAACAACTGTGCGATGAAAGTGACCATTATGTTCATATGAACACATACAAACATACACACACAAACATACACATAGACACACACACAAACATGCACACACAAAAACATACACACAGACACACTAACACAAAGACACACACACAAACATATGCACAGACACACACACAAACATATATACAGACACATAGACACACACACACAAACATACCACAGACACACACACAAACATACACACAGACACACTCACAAACATACACACAGACACACTCACAAACATACACACAGACACACTAACACACACACACACACGTGCACAGAATTCAAACAAAGTAACCGATAATCAGCAAAATCGCAGCCAAGATGAAATATCCAATTCAATGAAATATCTCAACCTACTGGACAAAATATTTAAAAGGTTGTGCAAAACTTTTACACCATCCTTTAAAATGCCGACTGTAAACTTATAAATGATTGCATTGAAATAGTTGCAGTGGAACTCAGAGTAAATGTAAACCCACAAAGGAACTTTGTTGCAAGCATTCCTGGCACTAAATAATTAATGTACAACATAAATGAGGAGGAGCAGGCCACTCAGCCCCTTCAAGCCTGCTTTACCATCCAACAAGATCGTGGCTAACCTGACTAATGCACATTCCTGCTGTAGTGAGTGTAACAAGGTCAGCAAGCTGGATCTCAGAGAATATGAGTTCTTTGATTGGGGCTGTTAACCTGGTTCAATCAGGGAGCTCTGGCTGACAGATATAACCGGGTGTGTCAGGGGTTTTGCTCACCTTAGGAGCCGGCTCTGAGCTAGCTGGTTCAGTGTTATGTTCCATGCACGTGTAAATAAAGGGTGACTTGGTGATGGGATACCAGCTGTGGGGGAGTGATTTTACTGCTTACCCTTGACAATCTAACACCCTCTTGTTCATTACACTCATTTCTCAGCTATGTAGTTCCTTCATGCTTTCTTGCTCTCCTACACAACTTCAATTCCTATACATTAATGAAGAAAAGGAAAATGGTGTTCAAAGAAACGATGAAATTTCTTGTGCAAGAGGTTTTGCAGTTGTAATTTTTAAATTCGCAAATGGTAGCATTGAGGAATAAAATTGGAGGATCTCATTACTCAGTTTTCTACTGGTGACGCATTTCTCCCTGGTACTCATTGATTGGTTTATTTTTAATAAATAAATCCATGATTGATAACATAAAGTACTTAACTCAGCAGTCACTGGTCTTTGGCCACTGACATTTTGAGGCATCACATGCCAAGTATAGATCGTCACCAAAGCCACACTCTCAAATGTCATGTCCTTGAAATCAAGGTATGAGATCAAGACATTAAGTGTACAGTAGACGTGCTGTGTTCATTCTCACTTTTTGACCTCATTGAAATATACATGTACCATTAAATAATCTCAGGGTTTAAAATTATTCTGGGATTTGTGTGGAATTCATCTGCACTATTTCAAAGCAGTCATTCGTAAGTTTACAACAAGATTTTAAACGAGGGTGTTAAAGTTTTATGCAACCTTTTTAACCAGCTCATTACCGGAAAAAATTCACACCGTTGGTAAATTTGAAACAATGGATTTTATATAATGTGCAGTGTAGTTCCATTATCCATTTTCACATGGAATGAGGTTTAGATGATCATAAACTCAGGGATTGTTTTTGGTGAGCAGTATTAATATGTAGCTGTGTCTTCCTCTCTCTTGTTTGATGCTCGATCCCAACTAATCGAAAATCTTAAAACTCAGGGGGCAAAGTAAAAGGTTAAGAAGATTGACTGTAAATTGCCATCCTCAAGATCTGAATGTACTGCAAAAAACTGATTAAATTCCAATGAGATTACGACAAAAAATCCAATATTTTGAGAGGTGTACATATTATTGGAAAACTGCACTGCAATGCATTTTAAGGCTTTTCTAGAATTGCCTTATATCTGTCAGCAATGTAGGGCTTTGCTCATTTCCAGTCAAGAATGTTCAATACTGAGGGAAGAAGTAAAGTTTGTTGCATTTCTCTGCGTCAGTATTGAATACTCCAGTTCTGGTATAACCTGGGGAGCTGGAACACTTGCACCGATGTCCCAAGGATGCAGCTCTATTCTATGCACAGAAGCATTCCTAATACAATTTTCTATTTCTGTTTCCCATAGATCCATCACAAAAGCCTCCAAATGAAAAGTTAACAATTTACGGCAGGCTATGACAGCTCTGTCTCATGGACATGGATTATACCATAAAACCAGAAGATAGAAGAGGAGAATTAGGCCATTTGGCCCACTGGGTCTGCTCCACTATTTGATCATGGTTGACAAGAACCTATCTATCCCTGTCTTAAATATACTCAATGACATGGCCTCCATAGCCTTCTGTGGCAATGAGTTCCACAGATTCACCACCCTCTGGCTGAAGAAATTCCTTCTAATCTCAGTTCTAAAGGGCTATCCTGTCACTCTGAGGCTGTGCCCTCGGGTCCTAGTCTCTCCTACTAGTGGAAACATCTTCTCCACATCCACTATATTCAGGCCTCTCAGTGTATTCGGTAAGTTCCAATCAGATATCCCCCTCACCCTTCTAAACTCCATCAAATACAGACACAGAGTCCTCAACTGCTTCACATATGACAAGCCCTTCACCCCCGGATCATTCTTGTAAACCTCCTCTAGATCCCCTCCGATGTCAGCACATCCTTCCTTCGATACGGACCCAAAACTGTTCAGAACATTCCAAATGTGGTCAGACCACAGCCTTATACAGCCTCAGCAGTATATCCCTGTTCTTGTTTTCTAGCCCTCTTGAAATGAACGCTAGCGTTGCATTTGCCA